TTTTTTCTCCTCCTCTTCTTCCTCCACTGTTTATATATTAGATGTCATATTCTGTACTCTTTGTGTAACCCTTGTGCAACTTTGTGAGCAGTTGATTTAGTATTTTAATTGCTTAGTTATTAACTGGTCTACTATCTTCACTGTGGGTTTATTTTCTCTGGCGACAAGTATTTAGCCCTAGGAGCCTTTCCATCTAGAGCCCTTCCATCTTGTAGAGATGGCTTGGTTGTAGTGAATTCCCTCAACTTTTGCTTATCTGGAAATGGTTTAATCCCTGCTTCAAATTTAAATGATAATCTTGCCAGGTGACGTAATCTTGGTTGGAGGCCCTTCTGCTTCATTACATTAAATATATCTTGCCACTCCCTTCTGGCTTGTACAGTTTCTGCTGAGAAGTCTGATGCGGTTTTCTTTATAAGTGATCTTTTTTCTCTCTGGCTTCTTTCAGTACTCTCTCCTTGTCCTTGATCTTTGCCATTTTAATTATTATGTTGTGGTGTTGTCTTCCTAGGGTTCTTTGTGCAGACAGATTTGCACTTCCATGACCTGAGTGACTATTTCCTTCCCCAGCTTAGTGAAGTTTTCAGCAATTATTTCCTCAGAGAATCTTTCTGTCCCTTTTTCTCTGTTCTTCATCTGGTTCCCCTATACTATGAATATTGTTCCGTTTGGATTTGTCATACAGCTGTCTTATTATTCTTCCATTCCCAGAGATCCTTTTTCCTCTCTGTGCCTCAGCTTCTTTGTTTCCCTGTTCTCTAATTTCCATTTCATTTACCATCTTCTCTACCTCATCTAATCTACTTTTAAATATCTCCACTGTATGTTTCATCTCAGATACTGTATTTTGTAAAGTTTCTATCTTTCTTGAAGTCCTCCCTGAGCTCTTGAACATTTGCCTGTAGCTCTGTGAGCATGTTTATGGTTTCTATTTTGAAATCATTACCAAGATTGTTGATTTGAGTTTCACTAAGCCCTCTTTCTGGCATTTTTTCTTGTAATTTTGTTTGGACCAAATTTGTTTGCCACTTCATTTTTTCAGTTTCCTATGGAATAACAACTTTGCATAGGTGGCACCATCTAGTGCCCAGAAGGTCAATTTCCTGTGCCAGAGTGTCAGCTGTTGGTGAGCAGTGGGTGCATGCCTCTTTTTGCCTTGTTTGTAGTGAGTTGTGTGGGCTATCAGCTGATTGCTTGAACAGGGAAAATATTCTCTGAAGCTGCTGTGCACCTGTAGCAATGGTGGGGGTTGCAAGTGAGCACAACTGGCACTTGTCGGGAAGAAAAGAGCTCAGCTGAGAGGGTTTCCTGTCTTGCTGGCTGTAAGCCTGCATCTACTGCCGGGCCAGTGGGTCTCGCACACAGGGAGAAGCCTTGGTGTTAAACCCCTATAGCTGTTGTAGGCAGGGCCACCCTCTGGCAGGCCTGGTACGATGGCAGAGCAGCAGGTGAGGAGGGCCAGCATCTGCCATGAGGAAGGAGCAGCAGGCAGTGTACTGCTGTTGGGGGTCCTTGGGGCTGCACTGCCAAGGGGAATGGAGCGTCTCAAGCTCCTGAGAGTTCCCAACCTGCTGGGCTAAGCATGCCAGAAAGGTCTTGTCCACCTGCCCTTTCACCTGCGTAGAGACCTATGTGTAATCTTTGCCCCTTCCCCCTCACTGCTGGAAAGTTCTTCAAACTGCCTGCCTTTCTTTTGTCCTGTGGGGGCCAGTTGTGCATACCTGTTCTCCACAGCAGCTGTAATCTCAGTCTCTCTGGGTATTTTACTTGTCTTTGCTTTTCAATCCCACTAATCTCCAGAGCACCAGGTAATGTGGGTTCGTGTTCTCAGAGCAGATCTCCACAGCTGGGCATTCAGCAAACCTGAGCTTCTATTCCCTGCCTGCTCCATTTCTCTTCCTCCCACCTGTAGACTGGGGTTGGGGAGGGCTTGGGTCCTGCCACATTGCAGTTTTGCTACTTTACCCTTTTCTGTGAGGTCTTCTCTTTTTCCCCAGAGGTAGGCAAGTCTGTTCTGCACTCTTCAGGTCGCTTTTTCAGGATTAGTTGTGTTTGCTGTATTTTCGTGTTTTCTGTGATTTGGGGAGAAGGAGGTTTCTGCCTCACTTCTCATGCCACCATCTTTTTTCCATTATCAAAACTCTGAAAATTGTAAACTCTTTATGTTGTTTGGCTACAAATGGGAAGTCTTTGTTTTTTTTTATTCCATCTTTTGGTCATTTCATCAGACTTTGAAGAAAGGAAACACAAAACAGCTCTATTTCTTTTTTCTCTGTAAGTTTTCAGTAAGAATTTTAGCAGGAGCCTGTATTTGTTTCTAGAACTGATCTTGATTGAATAATGGCCCTTTGTATTTTAACAGTGTTACTTGTACTATCATAGTGTGTCGCCTATCTACACCTGTATTTTGAAGATGGGCTCAACAATTTGCATCTTAAATCCCATTAGCTATCTGTATAGCTAAACCTCCACATTACCCTCAAATTCTAATTAATGGAAAATTTGACAGTTTGACAATGAGTATCTTCTTTTTATTATTTTCTTCACCTGGTAACTTAGCAAAAATATGTCAGTTCAATTGAGCTATATATAAAATGACCAGATAAATGTTTGTTGAACTTATTCATTCAGCAAATATTTACTGAGTACCATGTTCTAGGCATGTGGTATATAGCACTGAAAAGACAAAATTCTCTACCCTTGTAAAGCTTGTTCTACCTGGTGTAGGAAAGCAGACAAAATAAACTACATAGTGTATTAGAAGGTAATAAGTGTTGTGCAGCTGAAAAGTAGAGTAAGGAGAATAGTGTCTACTGGCAGATGAGGATTACAATTTAAAATATGGTGTTTAGGGGAGGCCTTGCTGTAGTCAGGACATCTGAGGAAAAAACTAGGATTAAGAAAGGGAACAAGTCTTGCAGACATATCTGGATAAGAACATTCCTGGCAAAGAGAATAGCAAGCACAAAGGCTGTGATGCAGTAATGTGATGTGCCTGGAGCGCTGGTGGCATTCAAGGTATAGCAAGGTCAGTGTAGCTGGAGAGGAACTAAGAGGGAAGTGGTAGGTAATGAGGCAAAAGAGGTGATTAAAGGCCAGAATGTGAACAGCCTTGGGCCAGTATCAAGATTTGAGCACTCTGAGTGACATGGGAGCCCCAGGAGAGTTTTCAGCAGAATAATAATCTGATTAAATTTGAATGGGATTGTTCTGCTCTATCAAAAACAATAGGAAGGACAAAGGTGGTCAGAAGCATGCCAGCCAGGAGATCACAGTAATAATCCATGGGAGATGACAGTGTCTTGGATCAAGGTAGAGCAGTGTTGAGAAGAGGTTGGATACTGGATATATGTGGAAGGGAGAGCCAACAAGATTTGCAGACAGATTGGATGTAGGGTATGAGAAAAAATGAAGGATGATTTCATATTTTCTGATTTGAGCAAGTAGAAGGATGGGTTTGTCATTTATCAGACAGGAAAGATTGTAATTAGAACAGGTTTGAAGGGGAAGATCAGGATTTTGGTTTTGGACATGTTAAGTCTGAGAAAGTTATGGAGATACTACAATCAGAGGCAACAAGAAATATGTGCCTGTAATTCAAGGAAGAAGAGAGAAAAATTTGGAAGTTTTCAGCATATAGGCAGATAAAGCCATGAGTCTAATAAGATTACCAAGGAGGTAAGCATAGACCAAGAAGAAAAAAGGTACAAAAACTAAGCACCCTGAGGTGCCAACCAGTTAAGAGGTTGAGGAGATTAAGAACAGATCAAGACTGAGAAGGAATAATGAATGAAGTTAAGAAAATCTGAAGAGTGTAGTGTCCTAGGAACCAAGGAGATAAAGTATTCCAAGGAAGGAACAGTGATCAGCTTGTCAAACCTGGATGGAAGGAACTGGATGTAGAAATGTGGAGCTCACTGGCAAACTGGAAGGAATGACAGCCTCAACTGGACTGGAGCCTGGGCACTGCCTGCACATGCACAGGGACATGTTCTCAAATAGAATTAAAGCCTCACAGAGAGAAACTTGAGCAGCAAAGCCGCATTGGAGATTCTTTCTTACTAAGCCCTTCAAATGAACTGCTTAGAAACTAGCAGTTAAATCCTTAAGAGACTCAATGAGATAGGTTAAAATTACAGCAAAACTTCTAATTCTAAAGTAACAGTTCTAAATTGTTGTTGTCCTTTGAGAGCAAAAGATGGCATTCACCTTATTTTCATTTCCAACCCATGTAGAATTATACTGAGCTAAGTAATAATAATGAATTCAGTAAGTATTTACTGTACATCTGGGTACTAGGCAGTAGGAATGCAGCAGTTAACAAGAAAACCAAATCCCATCCTACACAGAGCTTAATATAAAACTTCAAAACAGGCTTTGAAACAGGTGATCACAATGTGATGGTTGATATCATGGAAAGTGAAGGGAGCTGTACCTATTTGACCTGATTTTTACACTAATTGTATCTGCTTCAAGATTCTGAAAATGAATGACATTAAGTACCCGTTCCAATTTTACAGTACAGTTGACCTTAGAACAACATGGATTTTAACTGCATGGGTCAACTTATATGCACATTTTTTTCAATAAACATCGGAAATTTTTTTGAGATTTGTGACATATTTTTTCTCTAGCTTATTGTGAGAATATATAACACATATAACTTACAAAATACGTGTTAGCTATTTATGTAATCAGTAAGGCTTCTGATTAACAGTAGGCTATTAGTAGTTAAATTTTGCGGGAGTCAAATGTTATACATGAATTTTCACCTGTGCAGTGGGTGGGGACTCCTATGTTGTTCAAGGGTCAACTGTGTAAATAAAAATAATATGCTATATTTTCAGTTAACTTTTTCTAGCACTCATTCTCAACTCAGTCATTGAAGAAATGCTGTCCAATTGCCTTTTGAACATAATGTAAAGAAATTAACTGAAAAGGAAAGCTTAAAAAAAAACTGCCTCCAAATTACTAATTATTATTCCCTTTGGTCATCTTACCTTGATCACCAAGTACCAAAGCACCAGCTTCCAAAGCAAAATCTCCAGAGGAACTATCTTTTGAAAGAGTTACAGTCAAACCAGAGGTGGTTGTGGTATTACCACAAACATAAACGCCGCGTGGAGCAACATTGCATGCTGCCTAAAGAACAAAGTTTAAGAGAATCAGCTCAAGTAAAAGGGAAATATATAATAGCTAATAGTAATTGCTCAGAAATGTTACCCATATGCTAGTTATTCTCTTAAGAGCCTTACTGTACAGTCTTCACCACCACAGTTCAGAGGAAAGTCCTATTACATCCCCATTTACTACTGTAGAGATCAAGGCCTGCAGAGAGTGGGTAACTCAGATAAATATGAAGGTGTGAAGTCAGGATTCAGTCAAACACAGATGGCCTGACTCTGCTGCCTGTGGTCATGTGAATACTCTACACAATTCCACTTTGTGCTTCATTTTCAAGTTCAAATAGCAAAAATGTGAGCACTGATTTTAATTTTGAAGGCTCCAATGCTTCCTTAAATATCAAGTAATAAAATGGCTCAATAATGCTAACCTTCTGAGTAAACAAACTATGGCAGGTCAGTAAAATAGTTAAACAGCACAACAGTTAAAAGCATGGACCTCCAGAGTCAGGGAGACCTGTTTAAACCCTGGCTCTACCATGTACCAGCTGTGCTCTTCTAGAACTAGTGCCTCTCTTGAGCCTCAGCTTCCTTATGTTTTATGACATACAGCCTTGAGGAACGAATGAAATTGTGTATGTAAGGCACTTACCCTGGTACCTAGCACATAGGAAGTGCCCAGAGCAAGGAGACAGAGCCCATCCTGTTACCTATGTTGATGATGCATTCTGGACTTGTGCAGTGCATGATCCAAGTGATCCTATGGTGCCTAGCATATACACAGTGGCTATCATTATTTTTCTCACTTGTAACTTCGTATTTGTTAGTCTGAGAGTATGATGGTTTACTAAGTGGTCAGAGGAAAATGGGATTAAAAATACAAAGTAAGCAACTCATAACTGTTAGTGTTGGCCTGATTTTTAAAAACCCTGACTTAGCAGGGCTATCAGATTAAATGCAATACCCTCCACTGTTTACAGCATTTAATTTCCGTAATATTAGAGCTTCTATTTTTAAATTGAGTCAAGAGTTTTAAAGATATTATTCCAGGTATAAAAAACATGAAAACCTACCAACTTCATTTCTTGGTATTAAAACTTTTTCAGTACCCAATGTATTTTGGAACCATTACCTGCAAAGAGGTATTTCTTAAGCAAAAAAGGAGTAAAAGAGAAAAATGGAAGTTTCATATATTGCATGTATAAATTACTCATAACATTTATTTGCACAGATAATCAAACACTGGGGAGGTAAAGCCAGACTCACACGTAATACACTAATCCAAAAGTTACACACATACACAATGATAAAAAGACACAAAAGAAAGCTCTAATAATTCAGATCTCCACGTGCACCTTTTACATACATACTGCTTAGGTATCCTGTTTTCTTTTTTTTATCAATTTTGTTTCACCTACAAAGGGTAAATTGTACCTCTGTTACCAAGCTTATATCAGGGGCTCAGAACTGAACTTAAAAAGAAGTAGGCCAAGCTAGTTAAAAGGAGCACAGAAACCTGGATGAAATGTCAGATTAGGAATGAAAATGGTAATTGGTTTAACACTCAACCATAGTGAATCTCTTGACATGAAGGATAGTGGGTTTATAATGCAATGATGAGATCAAAGCAGTTCTCAATCATGGCTGCACATGAGAATCACCCATGTGGAGGATTATATACATGCAGACAACAGGACCCTAACCCAGAGACTCTTAATTCAATTGCCTGGGTGGGCCCCAAGATTTTCAAAAAACTTCAAAGGTGATTAGGATATGCAACCAGGGTTCCCAACCCTGGACAAAGATTCAGTAGCCAAAGGACTACACTTATCAAAGAGACCCCTGGACTGGTCATATTTTTCTACATCGCTGGAAGAAGGGGTTGAGGGACATGCGCATTCCTAGAAAGGACATTATGGCCATCTTATCAGATGTCACTCCAAAGAAACCACAAACATTCCAACAAACAGAATCTTCTAGGACCACCATAAGCCGTAGAGGGGAGAACCACTAGGCTCTGACTGACAGAGACAGGATCTTCTTGGGGATCAACCAGATATTGGTTGTAGAAGTTGCCTTGGTTTAGACTCAGAGAACAGCAGTGGGGATGTAAACAGATAAATCTCTTAACTTTATCAGACTCTTCCTAAAGCCCTGAAGTGTCTACATAGTTGTATAAAAAGAGCATAAGTTATCCTGCTTTACTTTCTTGAACTATTCTGTTCATAGGTGAAGTCACAACAATAAAGACTAGTAAAGCTGATAGAAAAAAAGGGGGTTAGGGACATAGTTATCATTCCACAATAGTGGGCATCTCAATGGACCAGCATGTCTGCACAGCCTGTGTAACACAAGACTGGCTCGATTTGAAAGCATGGTCACATACAAGTGACCTGTTATTCAAACCCCAATTCACTTATACCACTAGATAAACTATAATCTCTAGGACACAAACACCACATGCTTTGAGAAAATTCACTTGTAAATTAGTCACACAACGTTAAATACTAGATGATTGATTTCCTACCTGCAGCATCTGACTCTTTCCCAAGCCTGGATCTCCAACAACAAGAACATGTGGGTCTCCTCGAATTGGAATTCTGTTTTTGTCATCTGCATATTTCTGGGTTCCTCCAAACAGTGCTAATGCCAAGCCTGCTTTAACAAGCTCAAGTATGAAAGAAAAGGTGCGTCGGTGGGTGAGGATGTGAGGGGAAACATAAAGATAACTAACAAAAGGGGTGCTCCTCCTATGTTTGCCACATTTATTTCGGGATTTTTTAAAAACTTGATTGAACTTTACTTTTTTTCCTAAGATAATTAAGTCTAAAAATACAAACTTCTATAATGTAAATGTTTAAAAAGCAAAAACTAAAATGCCAATAAAACCAGAGAGGTATCTTTAAAAATCACTGAGTGAAGACCTACTTGTAAGGAATGAATCCATTCCACAAAACTGAGAAACATTTGTTAGTTTCTGTTTTAACATTTATTTAGTGTCCGGAGTCACTTTAACTTTAAAAGAAGCTCATTCCTATTAACTCTAATTGGTAAGCAGCTTTTTCTTACAAGAAGCTGTAGTTTGCATCTCACATCATTCATTCACTTATAGAAAATAGTGATTCATATTAAAATATGAATAACTGGTCAACAGAAATTATCTATTTTTTATGAAGTCTTTATATTTTATTTTTTGACAACTTTATACATTTTTGAGTAAAGATTAAGTAAAATACTTACTTCATGACCAAAAATGACAGGACAAAGAGAGCTGAAAAACAGAATAAAACTTATAAATTCTAATTTACACTTCACTGATCCATTAGTAGATCTACTTTATAACCTAACTTGCTTTATTCAGAATCAAGAAACAACAAAAAAACTTTATATCCCCAAACTCAAGAAATTTTATTCTAGTAAATTTCTCAAAATTCTTTGTTTACCTATAAAGGGAAGAAAGCTTTAAAAATGTCTATATAAGGGAGACAGGATACTTATAAAGCATTTTAAATAAATCAAACATACTGACCTTTTTACATTACTAGCCTTTAAAATGCATCATAATCATGGTCTTCCACCTTAAGATACAGAATTATGTTGTATCTTACATGAGGAGATAGCTTTAGATATATATAGCCAAGTCACTGAAAGGACACTGAAGGGTGAATTGAGTAAACAGTATTTTAAGATGGGGTAAAATTTCATTTTTCAGTTCAATTCAAAGGATCAGCATCAATAAGACCATATATGAATATAAAGGAGTATATTTATAATTATCCATTATATAAACAAGGAACTAACAAAAATGGACAGAATGGAAGACATAGAATCAAGAGTAAACTGAGTCACTAACCCTTTTAATATATGTAAACACAGAGGTCAGTGTCCTGCATATCCCCTTAGCACTCATGGTCCAGCATGCTCTGCATAATTGCTACTAGTTTTCTAACAGACACCTGCACCTGTCTGCTGAAAGGCTTTCTACAGCTGCAGAAGCATCATCAGCAGGCAGGCTAAAAATGCTAGGTTATCTGACATTCCCAGAAGTAGCCCCAAGTCTAGGTCCTTGAATGGAAAAAAGACAGAGGCTAGGTCTACACAGTCTAGTACCCCAGCCGCAATACTACTAAGTATCTATAAAAGTTATCTATTAAGCCCCAGATGCTACAAGTAACCTATTCATGGACACACCATACACTGACCTTATGCCTTACTTCCCCATTCCCCAATAAACTACACTTACTCAAATCATTGCTTCGAAAGGAACCTAAACTAAACATAACCTTCCATTGTCTTCTCCATTCTCCTTTCACAGTCCTCCATCTGTTTATCTAGCAAGGGTTCACAAATTTTTTCTTAAAGGGCCAGAAAGTAAGTATTTTCAGTTTTACTGTTTGAGTCACAACTACTCAAGTTGTGTGAAAGCAACCATTGACAATATATAAATGAATGGGCTGGGCTGTGTTCTAAAATTTATTTACAAAAACAGGCAGCTACCTAGTCTGCAACCCCTGCAAGATTAAGATTAACAAATGGAAGACCATGAAAAATTCTAGTTTTGATTCTGAAATCACAAACTTAGAATTAAAGGTAAAAGCAAACTGTGGGAAGAAAATCCAAGTTTTTCCTACTAACTCGTCTTCTGTAAGTATGGCAGGAAGACCACTGCAAATGTTTACTTTTGGTTTAGAGCAAACAAAGAGAAGTTTTGATCCCAACCAAGCTACTCCTCTGTCACCTGCTCAGAGACCACTCACCACTGTCACTTACCACCAGATCACAGTCCCACGCTAGCCCAGAGCACTCTCTGTCCCAGGGTGGGCTTGGATGGCTATTGAGGGGGAATCTCTGAAGGTTTAAGGACAGAGAACCCCCAAGGAACTCTACAGCCTCCACTGGCTAATTAACATACTAAAAGCAAAGAGAAAGTATCAAAATGTTCCTGGAGCCCTAAGTCTAGGTGAAAACAGAGCAAGAAAAGGTAAATTTTCCCAATACAATGCATTTCAAAACCTCAGTTCTTTACCTCTCTGAAGTACACCTACTATTCAGTCTGTATCATTTCCCCCTATTTCTGCCAATTTATCCAAAAAACTGTCCAAAAAGTTTAAAAGTAACAGTACTTTGTGTTAATTACAATAGAATTAGAAATATTATTAGAAAATTTCAGTTAATCTTCAGAACAACCTTGAGGTATTATTTCCGTTTTAAGATGATCAAAACGAAGGGGATATTAAGTTAACATGCCCCAGATCATACTAGCAGTGGCTGAAGAGGGATTCTAACTTCAGTTTATCTCCAGAACAAGCTCTTAACCACTAAAGCAAAAATGCCTTTACTTTGTGCTTCTTCTCTACTGCATGACAATAACATGGAAATAAAAGAATATTATTACGTATTTATTGAATGAGAATTCTATGTGAATCTCTTGCTTCATAAAAGTAAACAAACAACCCCCTACACATAACTAATTGAAATGCCTGGAATTCGCTGTTCCATTAATCTTTTGTTGAGTAACAAACTTCTTCTGTGAGATAGTAAATTTTTCTTATTGTTTAAATTAGAGGCCAGCAAACTTTTCTGTAAAGAACCAGACAGAAATATCTGTGAGCTATTTTCTGTCACAACTACTCAACCCTGCCACTGTAATTTGAAAGTAGCCAGATACTATACAAATGAATGAATGTGGCTGTGCTCCAATAGAAGTTAATTTATGGACAGTGAAATCAGAATTTCATACAATTTTGTGCAATCAGTTAATATACTTTTTATTTTTTTTTCAACCATTAAAAATGTAAAAACTAAGCTCAGGGGCATATAAAAATGGGCAGTTGTGCCTCATATCGAATTTACCGAGTATCATGATTCCTCCAAGTGGTAAAGATACCTCAAGACAAATGCTGGGCATAGAAGCCACAGAGCATAAATATGCAAAGAAGTAAAAAGCTAACCTTTTCAAACAATATGGCTTCTCTCTGACTTACCAACTTTACATCTCCCTGTATGGCCCCAGAAGATGACTGGTTAGCCAGAGACGGGTAAGATTCCTCAAGGGAGGAACAACCTAAGACAGGCACAGTCGCAGGGGGGCCATCAGGTGACAAATTGGAGATCAACAGTGGTGAGGCTTAGAACCTCACCCCCGCCTGTTTTGAGAGAAATCTTCTGCATCCGTGGATGTTTTAATGCCCTTGTCTAGCTTGGATTAACACATGGTCTACAGGCACACACCTGATCATCTACATTTGCTCTCTTACAACACTAAACTATGTTTTCTACCTTTATCTTGCATCTACCTACCACTTCAGCATTTTATTAAAAATAAAAATAATAATAATAACAAAGGGAGAAATGTGGGATCCACATATAAATCAAGTATAAAAATCAAACAAATATTCATATTTGACCTGATTGTTTATAGTTCATAATGTGTGATTAAAACCGAAAGTTTCTGTGATGACTGCCCTTGTACTGTTCACCATGTAAGAACTTATTCACTATGTAAGAATTTGTTCACCATGTAAGAACTTGTTTGTTATGCTTCAGAAGATTGGAGACTGACGAGAATTAGGCTTGGGGTGGATTAATGATTGTGCATTGAACATTGACTCCCCTATACAGAATTTTATTGTTGTTAACCATTTGATCAATAAATATGAGAGATGCCCTCACAAAAAAAAAGGGCAGTTAGCTAGATTTGGCCCATGAACTATAATTTGCACCTTTTTTTGACTAGTTTTTTGTTACTTGTCGCCAAGAGTACCCTAACATGCACATAGGTAATAGAACTTCAAATAACCTCATACATACTTGACAATGAGTTTAAACAGGTTTTCTTCAGCTTGAATCTCTTGGATGGCATAAAGGTCTTTGAGTGAGAACTCCATCAATGTTCCATGCTTACTCCCATCCTCAGAAGTCTTTGTTTTCTGTCCTTTGCTATTGCTAACAGAATTTGTTTCGATGTACAAAAGGAACATGCATTTGTCATTCTTACTGCGAGAACCTATAAATTTCAACATATGAAATATGATTCTTGGTATTTTCATTTTCCTACAAAGATTCAAATAGAATGCAAAGGCATAGTGAGCTACAAATAAACCTTTACTTTAGAGGACAGTTTCAACTGTGTAAGAAACAAGGACTCCCTCAATTAGTGGAGATTTAGAAGTATCTTAAAAAGAGAAAAGACAAATACTGATAAATTACTGAGGGACAATCAGAATGAGAAAAGAGTTAAACCATACCTTCCTCAGCATTTGAGACTTTGACAACCCCAGTAATAGTCACTGTGTCTCCAGGGACACAGCTATCCACAAGATTGTGCATGAGCTCACATTCTATTGTTCGTGGAATCCGACCTGCTTCTCGCTGATCATCAGACATCAGCTCCTGGATTCTGAAAAGTTAAACAATTTTCAGTCAGTATATATACTGACTTTTAGTTATTTCTCCAACATATTAACTATTCAGCATTGACAAAGTGCTAAGTAAGACAAAGGGCACATTAGTTAGAAAAACTTTTTTCAACAGTGTATCTAGAATTACTTCATCAGTTTCCAGTTAAGAATGACAGGATGACTATATGCCTTTGCCTACCTCCCCTTCAAATGACCACTATTCTGACAGTCACTAAAAGAGAGAAGTTTTTTGATATGCAGAGGTATCATCAGTAAACAAGAGACAATGGGATTTTAGAAAATAGCAAATGGGAAAGTACTGATCAGTAAAAGAAAATGAAGTCAGAATACACAGGAAAAAGGTACAAGGGACAAGAGAAATAGAAGCCAATGTTCTAAGCAGAGCTCTTGAGAGGCTTCTACATTGGAGTTGGCAGGAAATTGAGAGCAGGAATGGATAGCTGAAAGAAAATAGGATAACCAACTAAATGACCAGTCATAGGATAGCTGTTCAGGAATTTTTTGGAAGGTGAGTGGACAGGTCAGTAGGGAAGAATCCCAGCAAAGCCACCCAGGCTTTACCACCTGGCAAAAGCCAGAGCACTGTTTTAAGGAAATGGACCCATCTACTCTGTGAGGGGCCCTACAGTATCCAGTAAGGACATCACTGCTTCAAAATAAAGCCTCCTCTTTCTGGCATTTGAGGAACCCAATTTACAAAGCAAAATCTGATAGTCAAAGCCCCTACCTTCTTTCCAGGGGTGAGGCCTCATGAGGAAAAACTCCTACCTACAAAAGAGCAAAGGACACCTATCCTACCCACACCAAATAATTTATCATTCTTCATCAGATATTTGAGGCTGAAATGCATACAACTTGAGTAGGGAAAGAACCTTAAAAACAAACAATTGCCAGAGAGTTTTGAGAAAATGTTACCATCATAAAGCAAGAATAAACTACTATAAAAATGAACTATTAGACAAGTAGTGATTCTGCAACATCTTACTACGGTGATGGACAATGACTGTAGTGGGGTTTGTGGAGGAGACTTGGTGAGGGGGTGCCTAGTAGGCATAATGTTCTTTATGTGATTGTAGATTAATGATAACAACAACAAAATTCATAATACAAAAAAAATGAACTATTGGTAAACAAGTGTGAGATCAGGAAAATTAAAAACTGTATATAAAAATGAAACCCTTAGAATGGATACAAGAAAAAGCCAAAGAAATCTAGAAAACATCACAAAGATAGAGGGCACACAGAAAGGTAAAAGACAGGTAACAATCCAATTGGATACATCTGATAGGAAGCCCAAAGAGAGAAAACAGAGAAGAGAGGTACTCTACAATCAAAGACAGCTCCAGGAGTAAGGGACCTATCAGTGTCAAGCTTGATGAAGATGAAATTAGATGTAGTCTCACTGTTTCAAAACAACATAAACAGACTGCAAAGGGTGGGAAAAGTGCTAAATAAGAAATTATAGTCCAAATATGAAGCACATTAAAATATGGGACAATTCAGTGGGGTATAAGAAAAAATAATCCATTTTGATTTTGATGCTTTTTCAAAAATGATTTTGATCATTTTCCTTTAAAGGGCACAAAACAAAAAAACAACCTAGTGACAAAAACTCAATTTCCTTTTCTTGGCATTTGATCACCTTCTTTGGTTCTTTGTTGAGCAATATTTACATATTATCATAAAAATTTAAATGCTATTTATTGTTTTTGTTAGATATGACCTATAAAAATAGGGGAGACAATTATGATTGGAAAACAGAAGTAAACCTTGACATTATAAAAAGTAACATCATAGTTGAAAAAAGTCTAGAGGGAGAAGGGAGAAGTGAAAGCACGTACTAATGTCCTCCAATGTCCTCATCCTCAGCTTATGCAGAGTGGATGAGTAAAACCAAAGGAAAGAGGCTTAAGAATGTTATCTAATATTAGGGCAACAATAAGCTGTGGGAATTGTGGCTTTCTATACTGATGGCATTTTTAAAAGCATTTACATGTATTATTTTAAAGCTTTATTTAATCACTTAAATAATGAATATCTGTACAATCAGTAACCATTCAAATAACAACTTTGGAAGACGTTCATTACACATCTAGATTAGCCTCCCATTCTTTTCAGATCATGGGCAGGCACCAGCACCCATTTAACCTGCACTACTTCTAATCCTGCTCCAGAGTTGCCAACATTCTCACCCTCAATGCACATGTGGTGGACTGCAAGGAGAAGTCTCAGAAAGCTACAACATGCTAAGATTGCCTTGTTTTAAAAAATCAGATTTGTAGACTTTTCTTATTAAAAGGGTATGAATTTCTATGTTCCCCTTGGAAAAAATTAATGAGGTAAAAAGAAAAAAATAATTAACCTCACCTCCCCAACAGTATATTCTCAACATGTTTCTATATTTCTTGCTATTAAAAAAATAATAAAGTCAGAATATTGCAGCAGGTAACATTCTGTGCCCTGCTTTATCAGTAAATACACTGTGAACACTTTTTGATGTCATTTCAAAATATTCTCCTGCAACATATTATTTAGTACCTACACAATAATCCATTTTCCTTATAATATTTTGTTCAGATGTCTATAGGCTGTTCCCAATATTTTGATATCCACACTGTGGTAATATACTTTCAACAAGCTATTTCTGTACCTATCATGATTGTTTTCATCAGATGAACTGCTAGAACTGGGACTGTTGCAACTCTGAAGTTTCTGATATCCACTGAAAAGCTGTCTCCTTCAAGCATCCCAATGTTTCAATGCACTAGTTAAGAAACAGTAATTTAATTCCTTATGGCCATCCCAAGTTAAGCCTCAGGAAAAAAATCTATATTCAACCTATTCTATATGGGAGGAAGGAGATTTTTCATCTAGGGCAAACAGTCTTGTGTGTATATACAGATAGACAAAAACAATTCTTATGTAAGCTAATACTGTGTTAAAATTTTACTATAACTCATTTAAAATGAACTTGAAAAATACCTTACTTTTAAAGATTCAAGAAAATACTTAAATGGCCTTTCTCAATAGTCTACCCCTCAGTTTCATTTCCTAATATCAGTAGATCATCCTTCAAATCCAATGTAAATATTTAAGCTATTTTCTTGTCTGCTATTTTTACCCAAAAGCAAAGAAATTTTGTTCAAATAATTAAACTGCCCTGGATCGTCTACACATCTATCCTATTGTGAACCTTACTGCACCTCTGAGGCCCTCATGTCCCCCTTCAGTGGGGAAAGTCCTACAGACATGAGGTGGAAACCAGGCTGCCCTACTAAGACAGCACAGATCACACTTGGGTCTTAAACATTTCCTCTTTTATAAAATGGAGTGTTTTGTACAGGTCTCAGGATAGTGCACAGTTAATTATTATATATGTTGGTCTTGGTTTTTACCAGGCAGAAGGTGGTCAAGCAAGGACAGGGCTTGGTAGCAGCCTACCTCACTTTTCCCTAGACTCTTCTGTTTCAGTCAGGTTTCCTAGAGAGGGTTCTACATCCAGGTCAATGAGTCACATAAATAAGATATAAAATGATCTATTTCTCAGTAGTAAAAGAACACTGAATAACATATATATATAACTAATATACTACTAATACATACATGTAATTAATACATTAATACTTGCAAATTAAATATTTTCTGGAATCTGACATAGATTTCAAATAAAGACAATTACCATTTTTCCAACACATAAACTCTTAATCAAGGAAACCTTTTATTACGTACTTTATCACTGTCTACAGATAAGTATCACAGTATAATACAGGAAAATATTATAGATTTACTCAGTGGTATGAGAGATCTAAAACCTGCCTTTTACTGAATAGTCTGCTTACTTGATTGACTGCCAGTCCATTGTAACTGTGAGAGGAGAGCTACGAAGAGCAGTAAATGACTTCCCTCGACACATGGGCACAGGACACTGCAACAAGATCAACTCATGTTCAGATTTGATAACTACAATCACATCTAAGAAAAATTCAAGTTAAAAAGCTTCATTTAATACTGTTTCAAAAACTCATCTCAAAATGTTATCAAAGTAAAAGGCACTGAGACATGCAATGACCTTCTATTTCCTTCTGTGTCAATTCTGCACCACAAGCTTTTGAGGTGCCTTTTCAGCTGTCCCTCTAGATTATTGCCTTATTCTCTCTGCTGTGGGTATGTAAAGCTCCTTACTTGCCCCTCACACCAAGCACCTATTTTCCTTTGTGCCCATGCAGTCTCTTGATCCCTGAATGCCCCCTCGCATCCAGTCTGACATACCCAACCCCATTCTCTCCTTTTCAAAAGCCTTTCCTGGGTCTTCTTTTAATCCTCAGCCCTCCTATCTAGCCTTCTTTTGCACTGTTTGTATAATAGTTATTGTACCACACAGGCAGTCTTCAACATGTAAGTAAGTTGTGTTCAAGGTTTATTAAGTCACTTGTCTGTTGTTTGGACCTCAAGATGCATTTATAAATTCAGAGATTGTGGCAGACTGTATTTTTCAATACACTTGCAACACTCCTCAATGAACCTTGCCACCTGCCATTGAGAGATGGAGTCTAATTTCTCCCTTCTGGAATCTGGACAGGCTTGTGACTCAGTTTGTAACCAACAGAATGTGATGGAAGTGATGCCACCTGACTTATAAGGCTAGCTCAAAAGAGGCAAAGCCATTTCTGCCTGTCAGCTGGACCTCTGTCTTCTGAAGCTATCAGCAGCCATCTGCACTGACTGAGTGTCCTGAGCTGCCATACTGTGTATCAGAAGCCAAAACCAGCCCACACAGAAAGACCACATGTCTCCTCTAAGACATGCCTGGCCAGCCCCTCTCCACTCCAGCCCCTTGCTGATCCAGCCCCAGCCACCATTTGACCACAACTCCTTAGGAGACCTAGAGCCAGAACTACTCAGCCAAGCAATTCTTCTTAACTCCTGCCAAAAGAAACCAGGAATAATAACATGATTCTTGCTATTTTTAGTCATTAAGTTTGGTGGTGACTTGTTATGAAGCAATAGTGAATGGAACAAAGTTCACTTGGAATCACCACTTTCTGTTCACTTCAATCCAGGATCTCTTCACACCATGGCTCATCTTATGAGTCAGCTTTATAACCCACTATATTAGAGAGCATGGAAATATCTTGACCAAATACTGTTTACAGAAAATATCCAGTTTAAATCAGGATTTAAATTCTGGCCTCTGAGCTGAAGACAGTGCTTGAAACTTAAGCCCAGACAAATAATAGATTTGTGTATTATAACAGGTGACACCCACTTATCAACACTACTGATTATTCATGACCAACAGCTGAATCTAACACACCCTGTTCTTCCTCTAAAAGAAAGAAGCTTTATAAATTTCAATTTGAGTAAAAATGTAATAAATCTTAAATTTGTTAAAGTCCATAGATAATAAAGGCAACTCTGGAAAAGGATAGACATGGAAAGTCTCCCTACCTTACTGAAAATTTATTAAGATCAATATAAGTAACATCATATGGAGCTCATACAAGACGAGTGAAATCAAACAAACTCACATGTCTACAGCAGCACAATGTAGTAACTACAGAGGAAGCATTACATATCAAAAGGAATAGAGAGCTTAATTAATAAGTAGTGACAACTAGCTTTCCACCTAAAATAATAAAATTAGATCCTTAGCTTTATGCCATTCATGAAATTAGATTCCAGATGGAAAAATATCTAAATAGAGAAAACAAGACTTAAGTAGTAAAAGAAAATATTAAGAGAGGTGTTGATAATGCTCAAGTGAGGAAGGCCTTCTTAATCAGGGCATAAAAAGTAAAAGTCAAAAGGGAAAATACAGATCACCTTAACCATGTCAAAATGGAAGATTGTAAGACAAAAAAAACCCCACAAAACACCACAGAGTTAAAAGACTGGGAGAAGATATCTGTTATGTATATAATCAATCTTTAGTGTCTAGAATACATAAAAAACTCCTATCAGTAACATAACAGAAAATGAACAGAAGACATAAACAGAAAATCCACAAAGGAAACTGGCAAGGTGAACAGGAATGGCAGAGTAGGAAGACAAGTTGGAAACCTCCTCGCACATACAAACCAAGGAAACAACTACAGCAAATACAACTAACCCTGAAAACAACCTGAACACTGAAGAGTAGACCACGTACACCTGGTGAAGAAAGACCACAAAGAGAAGGGTAAGATAATAGAGGTGCAAGCTGGACCCAAGCCCTTCCCCCATCCCAGCCCACAAGCAGGAGAGAGAACAGAGCAGGGAGGGGATAAGCATTCAGGAACTCTGCACACCTGGCCCTGGAAATCTCAAACTGCATTGGAGTTTGGTGATTAGTGGGGCTGGATGGAGCTCTCTCTGCAGGAGAAAGGGCACATAGACGACACTTCCTGAGCCCTCCCTCAGCCCAACAAGTTGGGCACTCTCAGGAGCCTCAACCACTCCATCCCCCTCGTTGGCCGCTAAGCCCCTAGTGCTTCCCTACTGCACTGCCTGGTGAGAAGAGGAAGGCTTTCCCAGCTCTCTCAGCCCTGTCTCAGCCCAATTAGAGGCAAATGCAGGAGCTAGCTCTGAGCACTCAGTCCTCCTGGTGAGCAACCCAGCCTGGTGCCACGCACCTGCATCACCCACGGCATTAGCCCAGCAGTGCTGCCATTACTGCATGGCAGGCAGAGGGTGGTCCCGCCCACAATGATCCCAGCAAAAACCCCACTGCTCTGATCACAAAGGCTGGCTGAGGCAAACTGCCATCAGTGGACAGGACTCAGACAGACCACTGCTGGCAGATGGACAGAAAGGTGGGCCCTCCCATAGCCCACCAACACCAACTGGGGCTCCACTACAAAGGAGAACCAGGCACAGGAGAGGAAAGAGTTTTGAGCTTCTGGGCAACACAGGACTTCATAAAGCCATTATTCTCTAAACCAGGAAGCATACCAGATCCATCTAATAAAAAGGAAAAAACACAGAAACCCTGACAAAATGATGAGGGAGAGGAATATGCTTCAAACAAAATTACAGGGTAAGATACCAGAAAGAGGACTAAGTGAAATGAAACAGCAGTCACCAATCTTCTTGATAAAGATTTCAAAGTAACAGTCATAAAAAGGCTCACTGATCTGCAGAAAAGTATTGAAGATCTCAGAGAGGACTTCAACAAAGAGAAAGAAGAACTGAGAAAGAGCCACTCAGAGCTGAAGAATGCAGTAACTGAAATGAAATATACAATGGAGGAAATGAATAATAGATTACTGCAAATAGAGGAGACAGTGAGATATAAATTAAAGAACAGGAAAACAAAGGAGCTGAGGAACAGAGAGAAAAAAGAATCTCTAGAAATGAAAGAATGCTAAGAGAACTATGTGACAACTCCAAATGGAACAATATTTGCATTAACAGGGCTACCAGAAGGAGAAGAGAGACAAAGGAAATAATTGAAAACTTCACCAATTTGGGGAAGGATATAGACACCCAGGTCCATGGAAGCACAGAGAGCCCCTAACAAAAGGAACATCAGGAAGACAACACCAAGACATATAATAATTAAAATAACAAGGACTAAGGTTAAGGAGAGGGTATCAAAAGCAGCCAGAGAAAAAAGGTTACTTATAAGAGAAACCCCACCAGGTTATCAGCAGACTTCTCAGCAGAAACTTTACAGCCCAGGAGTGGCATGAAGTATTTAATAAATCTGAGACAGAAGGAACTTCAACCAAGAATCCTCTAGCCACCAAGATTATTGTTCAAATTTGAAGGAAGGAGAGATTAAACATTTCCCAGATAAATGAAGCCTGAAGGAATTTATAACCACTAAATTGGCATTACAGGATATGTTAAAGGGATTTCTGTAGATGGAAATGTTAAGCCTAAATAATTTTCACCAGTCAAAATAAACTGACAATAAAGGCAGTAGACCATGCTTATCAAACAGTACAAAATTAAAACATCACAGAAGTAGTAAAACCACCTATACAAAAATTGGTCAGGACACACAAAAAAATGCAGATTATGCTATCTAATGCATAAAGTGTGCAGGAGGAGTAAGAATAAAAAGGACTACTTTTAAATTGTGCTTGAAATAAAGCAATCATCAACTTAATATAGGCTGTTAAATAATTAGGAGGCTATTCACGAACCTTATGGTAACCACAAACCTGAAGCCTGTAATAGATAGACAAAAAGTTTAAAAACAGAAATCCAATCACAATACTAAAAATAAACATCTCAAATAACAGGAGATTATAAAAGAGTAAGAAAAGAACACAGAGGAACTATAAAAACAACCAGAAAACAATTGATAAAATGGTAGCAATTACATACCTATCAATTACCTTAAATGTAAATGGACTGAATGCACCAATCAAGACACAGAATGGCAGAATGAATAAGGAAACAAGTCCCACCTATATAGAGACTCATTTCAGATCTAAAGATATACACAGACTAAAACTGAAGTGATGGAAAATGATAATTCATGCAAATAATAGGGAGAAAAAACAAGATTAGCAGTACTTATACCAGACAAAATAGACTTCAAAACAAAGTAACAAAAGACAAAGAAGGACATTACATAATGATAAAGGGGTCAGTCCAGCAAGAGGATGTAACAATTATGAACATCTGAGAGCTCAACATAGGAGAACCTAAATATGTAACAAAAAAAAAACTAACAAAATTAAAGGGGAAAATAGCAACTCATTCATACTAGGAGACTTCAACACATGACTTAAATCAATAGATCAAAAAGACAGAAAATAAATAAGGAAACAGAGGCACTGAACAATACACTACATCAGATGGACTTAACAGATATCTAAAGAATATTTCACCCAAAAGCAGCAGGACACACATCTCAAGTGTACATGGAATGTTCTCTAAAACTGATCACATACTGGGCCACAAAAGAGGCTCAATAAATTCAAAAAGATTGAA